GCTCATAATATTCCCTCCAGCCCGTGCCCCCTCCCCTGACATCTCCATCAAGATCAATAATACAACCATGAGTCACTCTCCTCATGCCAGGGTACTAGGTGTAATCCTGTATCTGACCTTTCAGCCCCAAATCCAATCACTGTCCAAATCTTGTAGACTTCACCTCTGTAACATCTCCAGAATACCCCCTTTTTTAACCACTGAAACCGCTAAGCAACGTATTCACTCCCTTGTTATCTCTTGCCTTGACTAATGCAACTGCCTCCTCATTGGCCTAACTAATTGCAGGCTGTCACTCTTCAGTCTATCATGAATGCTGCTGCCAGACTCGTCCACCTTACCATCTGCTCCATGTCTGCCATCCCTCTCTGCCAATCCCTCCACTGGCTTCCCATTGCCCAAAGAATAAAATTCAAAACATTAACAATAACATATAAAGGCATTTATAATTCCGCCCCAAATAATATCACCAATCTTGTCTGCAAATAGCACCCAAACTGTCCTCTCTCTCCAATACTCCCAAGACCTCCTGCTCTCTAGCTCCTTTGTCTCTTCCTCTCATGCTCATTTCCAGGAATTCTCCAGAGCCTGCCCCATCCTCTGTAACTCTCTACCCCAATCTGTCTATCACCTATTCTGTCCTACTTTAAGGCCTGAAAACTTTGATCCCTGAAAACCTATCTCTTCAGAGAAGCCTATCCTGCCTTCAGCTGATAACTGAATCTTTTATTTCTTCCATCAGTTCAACCCCCACAGTTATTACCTTTTTGTTCCATCAGCCCCTCCCTATTAGATTGTAAGCTCCCAGTAGCAGGGCCCTCCTAACCCCTTGTATTGAATAGTATTGTTGCTGTATTGTCTCCCTTTATATTGTAAAGCGTTGAGCAAACTGTTGGCACTTTATAAATCCTGTATAATAATAGTGGCTCACTGTATGTAAAAGAAAAAAATGGTCTTATGTCCTACTTACAGGGTGTAGAAAGTAATGGAGATCCAACCCTTATAAAAAAAAATCTGCTCAAATCCATATCCTGGTGCCTCTCAGGTCCCTAATATTCCAGTGCTCACTTGACCATCATGGGACATGTTTCTTCTTAACTTTTCTTTTAGTGGTCAAACTGATAAGCATATGTATTGGCTCTGTAAGGCACTGTAGGTGTAGGAAAAAGTTTAGGTCACAATACATTGATAAAAATTAAATATTACTGTCTATTGCTGTTACTTCAAATATGCACCAAAGGCAAAAAACGTAAACATTTCCAGGCTTCCTGTTCCACACACATATATGTGTGCCCGAGCTTGATTTATAAAAAAAGGGTAGCCTCATGTTACCCCCTATATATCAGCACTCAACTTGGGGATACAGGGCCAACAATGAGAGCCAACCAGTCTGCTGAAGTTCACATGTGCTGACTAGAGGAGAAGGTGAAGGGATGACCTCATCTATCTCTTATCTTCTTTAGTGTCCACCAGTCACCAGGTATGTGTGTGTTTGGTGAGGGGGGAGGTGTCACGGACGCACGATCGCACGACCGCAACCACCAATACGTCACGCCTGCGGCGTCAGACCCCAGACCTTCTCACCAAACTCATGACTGAAGGACCGGCCGATCTAAAACCGCGGTGGTGTGACGTGTGCGTAAACAATGCCACACTCAGCTGCGCCCTGCACAACAATTGTCCAGCTAATGGAACGCAATCGACGCACCGGCAGCCTGAATGCGCTTGTTACTGGGTCGGGTTAATTACGCAACTAACCCTTCACACTGCCACCAACCCCTTTTTGTACAGAGAAAGGGGAAACTCTCTTTATCAAATATACACTGTAATGATTGAAATGATGGTCTGTATAACACGGTCCGCAGGCCCATTATACAGAGATTAAAACAAACAGTAGCGTCTCTTCAAAAGGCAGGAATTCGTGAATTGCAAGTAAGCGCTTAGAAACAGTTTGACTCTTTTAGCAATAAATCTTTCTTCCTGAAAGTGTTAAACAGGTGCAATAAAATATTTACAAAAAAGATGTAACTAAGATATATATATATATATACATAGAAAACAGCACCGCAAAAAGATAACAGGGAGAAGTTAAAAAGTTAAGTTACTTGCCATGTTCAGCCTTAAGGTAAGCAGATCCAAGTTGCAGAGCGAAGGGTCTTTGATCTCCTGCTGTTACGATGTTAAAATTGGGAGATGTGTTTAGCTTTTTAGGCTTGCCAGCCTGTCTTTTTAAGTCCCCCAGCAGGGGGGTGGCTCTGAGTAACTGGCCAATACCCTGTTTTTGGGCGGGATCGTCGGATGGACTCTGCATTGAAACTGACAGCTTCATAATTAGAGATGAGCGAATCGAACATGGCGAAGTGGAATTCGTTTCGAATATTGGTAAATATTCGATTCGCGCCGAATCCGAAAATTAGCCAACTTCGGATGCACAAATCGAATTTTCCCAAAAATGGCAGCGACATGTGTGGCGACGGAGCGGGGATCTCTGGGAAGGCACGCAGACAAGGCGCGCTGACCCATAATGCATTCATTCATGACGTGATCGCATTAGCCAATCAGCAGCCAGCCAGCACTGTGTAATGGTGGAGCTATAAATTGCGGCCATCTTACAATTCTCCATTAGCCTCCGGTCATTCAAGAGAGACAGACCTGTCTGTATTAGGGACAGAGTTAGGGCCAGAGAGACTTTAGGGCCACAGAATCGTTACTTAGGGCCACAGAATCGTTACTTAGGGCCACAGAATCGTTACTTAGGGACACAGAATCGTTACTCAGGGACACAGAATTGTTACTCAGGGACACAGAATTGTTACTGAGGGACACAGAATTGTTACTGAGGGACACAGAATTGTTACTGAGGGACACAGAATTGTTACTGAGGGACACAGAATTGTTACTGAGGGACACAGAATTGTTACTGAGGGACACAGAATTGTTACTGAGGGACACAGAATTGTTACTCAGGGACAGACACAGCATTGTTACTGAGGGACACAGAATTGTTACTGAGGGACACACAGAATTGTTACTGAGGGACACAGAATTGTTACTGAGGGACAGACACAGAATTGTTACTGAGCGACACAGAATTATTACTGAGCGACACAGAATCGTTACTGAGGGACACAGAATCGTTACTGAGGGACACAGAATCGTTACTGAGGGACACAGAATCGTTACTGAGGGACACAGAATCGTTACTCAGGGACACAGAATCGTTACTCAGGGACACAGAATCGTTACTCAGGGACACAGAATCGTTACTCAGGGACACAGAATCGTTACTGACGGACACAGAATCGTTACTGACGGACACAGAATCGTTACTCAGGGACACAGAATCGTTACTCAGGGACACAGAATCGTTACTGAGGGACACAGAATTGTTACTCAGGGACAGACACAGCATTGTTACTGAGGGACACACACAGCATTGTTACTGAGGGACACAGAATTGTTACTGAGGGACACAGAATTGTTACTGAGGGACACAGAATTGTTACTGAGGGACACAGAATTGTTACTCAGGGACAGACACAGCATTGTTACTGAGGGACACAGAATTGTTACTGAGGGACACAGAATTGTTACTGAGGGACACAGAATTGTTACTGAGGGACAGACACAGAATTGTTACTGAGCGACACAGAATTATTACTGAGCGACACAGAATCGTTACTGAGGGACACAGAATCGTTACTGAGGGACACAGAATCGTTACTGAGGGACACAGAATCGTTACTGAGGGACACAGAATCGTTACTCAGGGACACAGAATCGTTACTCAGGGACACAGAATCGTTACTCAGGGACACAGAATCGTTACTCAGGGACACAGAATCGTTACTCAGGGACACAGAATCGTTACTGACGGACACAGAATCGTTACTGACGGACACAGAATCGTTACTCAGGGACACAGAATCGTTACTGAGGGACACAGAATTGTTACTCAGGGACAGACACAGCATTGTTACTGAGGGACACACACAGCATTGTTACTGAGGGACACAGAATTGTTACTGAGGGACACAGAATTGTTACTGAGGGACACAGAATTGTTACTGAGGGACACAGAATTGTTACTGAGGGACACAGAATTGTTACTGAGGGACACAGAATTGTTACTGAGGGACACAGAATTGTTACTGAGGGACACAGAATTGTTACTGAGCGACACAGAATCGTTACTCAGGGACACAGAATCGTTACTCAGGGACACAGAATCGTTACTCAGGGACACAGAATCGTTACTCAGGGACACAGAATCGTTACTCAGGGACACAGAATCGTTACTCAGGGACACAGAATCGTTACTCAGGGACACAGAATCGTTACTCAGGGACACAGAATCGTTACTCAGGGACACAGAATCGTTGAATTAAAGAGTATGTCCGACAACACGCAGAGGAGTGGCAGAGGAGGCAATGTTTCAGGAGCGAGCAGACGTGGCAGCAGAGGAAGGGGTCGAGGCAGCACTAGTCGCAGCCAGAGGCCAGTGCTCCCGGTGTCATCCAGCGGTCGTGTCTCCACCGACAACCCTGCCGTCATCGATTGGTTGGCTCAGTCGTCTTCCTCTTCCCAGGTCACCTCTGACACCTACAGCCAACGGGTCGGTGGGTACGTCAGACACAACCGTTAGTTGGCATGGCCCGGGAGCAAGCCCACTGAAATCACGTGTCCTCTACCTGCCCCTGTCCTTTGGTGTTCCCTCACCAAGCGAAGTAGTATCGCATGCTGTGGGCTCAGCCCCACTGTACAGTGAGGAAGAGCTAACAGAGGGCGGTCAGGAACGGGGGGAGACATCCGCCTCTTCAGCAGCCAGGCGAAGAAGTACTGGCGAGGAGAGTGGCTCGGTAGCCGGTGTAGAGACAGGTCTGTCTCCTGACCCACACGCAGCCGAGGGGGCTAGTAGTGAGGTGGAGACCCTAATTGATGATGATGAGGCTGATCGCACTTGGCAGCCTCGTCGTCACCTGCCAGGCCCGTAATCTGCCATGGGCCCCCGTACCGACTCCTCATGCTGCTGCCAGGCCCGTAATCTGTCATGGGCCCCTGTACCGCCTCTCATGCTGCTGCCAGGTCCAGAGTGTGTCATGGGTCCCTGTACGGCCTCCCATTGCTGCTGTCTCCATCGCCACACTCTGCCATGTGCCACTTTCAGGTCTCCTCACACTGCTGGTGGGTTCCATTTTGTCATAGGGTGCTGGCAGATTACGGGCCTCCCATTGCTGCTGCCAGGCCCGTAATCTGCCATGGGCCCCCGTACCGCCTCCTCATGCTGCTGCCAGGTCCAGAGTGTCTCATGGGTCCCTGTACGGCCTCCCATTGCTGCTGTCTCCATCGCCACACTCTGCCATGTGCCACTTTCAGGTCTCCTCACACTGCTGGTGGGTTCCATTTTGTCATAGGGTGCTGTATGGCCTCCCATTGCTGCTGCCTCCACCGCCACACTGTGGCTCCACACTCTGGTTTTGGCCCGTGACTGCCCAAATGAGTGAAGTGTGCGGTGATTCTAAGATCGACGGCACTCATCTGCATGTCATACTGACTGACAGTATTATTTCTCTTCCCCAGCAGACTCCAAGGGCATTTAAATTAAAGGTACAGTGTTCTGCACTAATATAAAGGCTCTCTGAAGCTTAGAAACACCCTTTTTATAAGTTAAATTCGCAGCGAATATGTTCGACTCGAATCAAATTTTTTCCGCAAATTCGCCGAATCAGCCGAATCGAATTTTTGAATACTTCGCTCATCTCTATTCATAATCCATGATATGAAACATAGGTGACAGCTGACCTGAGGAATGTTCATTTAACTTCTGTCACCTGGCTGGTAGGGCTTATGAGGTTCCAACTTTTTTCAAGTCCAGGGAAAAAAACTACCTTATCTTAGTTAGGAGGTGTGAGCTTACACAGGCCTTGGGACAGAGAGTTACCTGTCTCTATGGGGGGGCTTTGTAGCGCTGGCCTCCTGCTGCTCCAGCCTGCCAGCAACTTTTGACACACCCACATCTGTCCCTGTGCCTCTCAGGAAGGGAGGGGTTAGGGAATAAAAGATTGAGGAATACTTCTAATAAAAAAAGGGAACTCTGCGTCCATCTCTGATGAGCAAGTTTGCTACAGGAGGTATTCTTGAATAAGTGTCTGGCTATGCTGCCTGGCAGTATTACAAAATCCTAGATGAGGTTACTATTTCTCCTAAATGTTTTTCAGCTTTAACATGCAGCAGTGGAGGAATTTCTCGTTCATTTTTTATATTAGGGGTTCACCATGCAAGTTAAAACATAGTTCACCATCACTGCAGTCTGTAAAACAGATCTTGCTACTCCCTCCACATATATTTTCAGCTCACTTTTGACTTTTTCCTCATAGAGGGACATAGAATTCGGTTATGTATGCAAACTGGGGGGAAGGCAGGGCATCTACCAAATATGTTATGTGGCATTTGAAACTTTAATAAAGAGCTCTCATTATATTTATTATTATTATACAGTATTTCTAAAGCGCCAATAGTTCGCTCAGCGCTGTACATTACAAAGGGGGACAGAACATGTGACAGAACAATACCAATACAATGCAAAACATGAGGGGATCGAGGGCCCTGCTCTTTCGAGCTTACAATCTAGGAGGGAGGGGGTGGTGGCACAGGAGGAGATAGCTGTGGGGGGATGGAGTGGTAGGAAGAGTGGAGGAGGTCGGCAAGTTAGCAGGGGGTGGGGTAGGCTTCCCTGAAGAGATGGGTTTTCAGGGTGCGCCTAAAGAAGAGGAGAGTAGGTGATAATCTGATGGGTTGGGGCAGGGAGTTCCAGAGGATGGGTGACACCCTGGAGAAGTCCTGGAGGCGGGCATGGGAGGAGGAGACCAGGGAACTAGAGAGAAGGAGGTCTTGTGAGGAGCGGAGTGTGCGTGCTTGGCGGTACTTGGATATTAGGTCAGTGATGTAGTTCGGGGCAGTATGGTGGACAGCTTTGTACGTCAGCGTTAGGATTTTGAATTTGATCCGTTGCGCAATCGGAAGCCAGTGGAGGGATTGGCAGAGGGGGGTGGCGGAGACAGAGCGGTTGGAAAGGTGAATGTGTGGCAGCCGTATTCAGGATGGACTGAAGCGGAGATAGCCAGCGGCGAGGCAGGCCAGTGAGGAGGGAGTTGCAGTAGTCGAGTCGTGATATGATGAGGGAGTGGATGAGCTGTTTAGTGGTTTCTGGGGTTAGGAACGTGCGGATTTTGGCGATGTGGCGGAGGTGGAGTCTGCACGAGTTTGTTAAAGATTGGACTTGGGGCTGGAAGGATAGGTTGGAGTCCAGAATGACACCCAGTACTCTGGCCTGCAGGGCGGGTTTGATGGTAGCGTTGTTGGATGTGACGGAGAAATCAATGGGGGGTGGTGTCCGGGCTGGGGGGAAGACAAGAAATTCGGTTTTGGAGAGGTTCAATTTAAGGAAGTGGAGCGACATCCAGTCTGATATGTCGCTCAGTAGGTGTGTGATTCGGGCTGAGACCAAGGGGGTGAGGTGGGGGGTTGAGAGATAGATTTGTGTGTCGTCGGCATAGAGGTGGTAGTTGAAGCCGTGAGAGTGTATGAGTTGGCCAAGGGAGGAGGTATAGATGGAGGAAGAGAAGGTGCCCGAGGACAGAGCCTTGAGGGACCCCAACAGAGAGGGGGAGTGAGGGGGAGGTGGTAGCATTATAGGTAACGCTGAAGGAGCGTTGTGACAGGTAGGATGACAGCCAGGAGAGAGCAGAGTCTCTGAGGCCGAGGGAGTGTAGTTTTTTGAGGAGGAGGGGGTGGTCGACTGTGTCGAAGGCCGCAGCAGAGAGGTCAAGGAGTAGGAGCACTGAATAGTGGCCATTAGCTTTGGCGGTTAGCAGGTCGTTGGAGAGTTTGAGTAGGGCAGTTTCGGTGGAGTGTAGGGGACGGAAACCGGACTGTAGGGGATTGAGGAGGTTGTTGTCGTTGAGGTGAGAGCATAGGCGGGTGTAGACTAGGCGCTCGAGGAGTTTAGATGTAAATGGGAGCAGGGAGATGGGTCTGAGGTTGTTCGGGTCATTGGGGTCCAGGGAGGGCTTTTTAAGTATGGGGGTGATGATGTGTGCATGTTTCAGAGGGGAGGGGAAAGTGCCTGAGGAGAGGGAGAGATTGGAGATGTGGGTGAGGGAGCGTAGGATGGAGGAGGAGGAAGGTCGTAGGAGTTGTGAGGGGGCAGGTGGTGAGGCGGGGCATCAGAGAGGATCTTGGAGACTTCCTCGATGGTACTAAGGTCAAAGGTGCGGAGTGTGGGGGGGAGCTTCAGTATGAGGAATGTAGGGTGGGGTGGAAGAGGAGGTCAGAGCAGTGATGGGGCAGTGGGAGAGGGGTGATGAGCGGGTAGCTGAGTGAGGGTGAAGGGGGTTTGGAGAGAGTTTGAGCAGCGACGACGAAGTCCCTGCGGGTTATGTCGAGGGGAGGGGGGATAAGGGGGTAGCTGTGTGAGAGGGGGACGGGTTGAGAGGGCGTTTGAGTTGCGGCAATGTCCTTGCGAATTGTGTCAATCTTGTTGAAGCCTGGGGGTGGGGGGGGGGGGGGGGGGAGTGATTGGCAATCTCAAGGGCAGTGAGTGAGGTGCTAGGTGGGGGTGGAGAGAGTAGAGAGCTGAAGGCAGAGAAGAGTCGGCGAGGATTGGAGGAGAGGGCCTTGATGAGGGTCAAGAAGTAGGCCCTGTTTGGCAGCATGGAGGGAGGAGGTGTAGGTGCGGAAGGCAGATTTTATAGCGGGTGAAGGCTTGTTGGGATTTGGTTTTGCGCCATAGTCGCTCTAGGGCACGACTTTGTCGTTTGAGGGTTTTGGTGTGATCAGTCTGCCAGGGCTGGAGCGGTCGGGGTCTGATGTTGCGTGTGGTTAAAGGCGCTAGTGAGTCAAGGGCTGTTGAGAACGCATTGTTGTAGGCGGTCAAAGCCAAGTCGGGGCAGGACAGGGGGAGGATGCGGTCGTGGAGTTGGTCAGCTGCAGAGTGGAGGGAGGCAGGGTTAAGGTTGCGGAGGTTACGGCTGGTAGTAGTGTGACATTTGGAGGGGTAGGCGTTGGAGGACGAGGAGATAGAGAAGGTGATCAGGTTGTGGTCAGAGAGAGGGAAGGGGGTGTTAGTGAGGTTGTGGGGAGCGCAGCGGTTGGAGAAGACAAGGTCCAGGATATTTTCCGTCAGAGTGGGTGGTGGATTGTATGCACTGTGCAAGTGCAAAGGAGGAGGTTAGGTGGAGGAGACGGGCTGTGTCTGGGTTGTCGATGTTGACAGGGATGTTGAAATCCCCAAGGATGATGGTGGGTAGCTCAGAGGAGAGGAAAGAAGGGTAGCCAGGAGGAGAAGTCATCCAGGAAGCGGGGTATAGATCCAGGAGGCCGGTATTTCACAGCAATCTTCAGGGGGGTTGGGGAGAATAGTTGGACGCAGTGGGCCTCGAAGGAGGAGAAGGATAGGGAGGGGGGGGGTTTGGGAGGACTCGGAATGTGCTCTGCGGGGACAGGAGCAGACCAACCCCACCACCTTTACGACCGTTAGGCCTGGGTGAGTGGGTCCAGGTGAGACCTCCGTAGGAGAGTGCAGCAGGGGAGGTAGAGTCAGATAAATATGTAGGCTACTATTGCTCAGACTAAAAATGCTAGTTGCCTGACTGCCAATGCTTGATACATTGACCCACTGGAACAAAATATAGAGTTTAGGAATGCAAATTTTTCTTTTGCCTTTCATTTTCGAAATATTTTTACATCAACGGTGCAAAGACAACTAGGCTAATAGTATTTTTCAAGGGAGATCCTAGCTAAGTGAAGTGAGCCATATTAGGACGATATCATGCCTTAGTTTACAACATTTCAAATAATTCACAAGGCTGAATTTATTCACATTAGTTGTTATAATATCATATAGTGTTATTGAGAGTCTCAACTCTGCTGGTCATTATAGTTAAAGCGAGTAATTGGACTGCCGCAATTGCTACTGTGCACAACCCCCACCCCTTTCTACTTTAAGGAAGGCTCTATAGACATTTTCCCATGAGGCCATTCAGATTGTGTGCAATTTTAAATAATCGCCATCTCAAGTGTTGGGTCTGTTATGAAATTAATGTGTAATAGAGGACTAGGTTAAGTTAAATTGTTATGCAAAGTATAAAGTAAGTTGGATTTTGTCACACAGTAACTTTGTCACACAGTTACCGGTGCTGTATTCTTTAGTGAGAACACTTTGCATACCCTGAGATTGAGAATTCTAAGAAATCTGTTTGCACCTTTGAAGTAGTGCAGTATAGTAATTTTCTGTGATGTTTAATAGTTAATTCTTTACATGATTGTTTACTTTATTTGAAACATTTAAAAACCCTGTTAATGTAAATTGTGGCTTTGAGAAAAGCAGTTGATGAATATTTGGGGCATTGACTTTTTAGAAGGGAGAAAAGAAGAATAGGTTGTAGCAGGAGAAAGTGACCTTCTGTGAATCGATCACATTGGCTTTTCTTCTCTTCTGCTATAGGTTTAATACAACCTTGACTCATTCGTACTTATCAGTAATTGCCAAAAAATCTTTATTTGTATTGACAACGGAAACAAAGAAAAACGAGTGGTTCAGACTTATTTATCAAAACATTTCAAATGTTTTC